AATACCAGTTTATGATAGACGGAGAGGTATGGAATGTCGGGCTGTGTTCAGACTGGGATTCTATTGGCTGGTTCCCCAACACGTGACCTGTGTGTGCGCGTGAACTGTGAGACTTGGTATGGGATCCTTTCCACACATACAGTGCAGAGGAGGGCAGAGTCTGAGAGACCTGAGTACCTAGTTCCACTCTTCGTCAGTTTCTCAGGATACATAAATGTGTGACTTTTAAACATAACTAAATAAAAGTTTAACCCTTTGTGAGCCCCCATTGCTTTTTAGCAACTTCTTCATCACCTTTTATGAGTTTTAATTACATTTTTTTGGGCAAGAATCGTGAAAAAGGAGGGGAATGCACTGCAAATGCATGGAAATGTAACCATAATGAAGCCAAAACGCACAGCAAACATTACAAATGCATGTAAACGCACATGCAGGCTGCATATTAAAGTGGAACTTTAGTCAGAAAATTAAAGTTGTGTTAAATTCATTTTTTTTAAATTAACAAACATGTTATACTTCCTGCTGTGTGCAGTGGTTTTGCACAGAGCACACCCGATCCTCCTCTTCTCCTGTCCCCCAGCGGTGCTCCTGGCCCTTCCCTCCCACCGAGTGCACCCAGAACAGGCAACTTACTATGGGGGCACCCAAGCAGGCTCTCTCCCAAGCCGCTGCTCTGCGGGTCCATTCACACACGGCTGTGGCTCAGCCGAACACCTGTTCTTTCCTCATTGGCTGTGATTAACAGTCAATGGCTCCCGTTGCTGTATCAGCCAATGAGGAGGGGGAGTCCCCAGAGAGCCGCTGTTCTAGTGCACATCGCTGGATCGAGAAGTGACTCAGGTAAGTACTTGGGGGGCTGCTTCACACAGAAGGTTTTTTTACGTTTATGCATAGAATGCATGAAGGTAAAAAACCATGAACCTTTACAACCACTTTAAGACCTGCTTCATGCTAATGCGGTGCAGGAAACGCAGTGCATCCTATGCGTTTCCCACACCACATAGCAATTGCACAGCGTCCATGTGATCTGCTGCTTGTGTCAATGGTAAAATAACAACACCGCAAAATAGATCGCAAAATGCAGTGCAGTTTCCAGAATTTACATTGCAGGGGTGTGAACACCCCTACCATCCAAATCAGGTGTGGGGAAAAAAAAGGGCCCTGCACCCTTTTTGGTGTGGATGTAATTTGATTTGAGCCATACAAAATGTATGGCTGAAATTGCACCGCACAGAAATCCCTTCTGACTTGCACAGGAATGTGCGAATTACATGCACTGCGATTCCTAAGCGAATTACATGTGGTGCCCCGCACCGCACAAGTGTGAACCTAGAATCACTCATGCTCAGGGGCGGACTGACAACTCATGGGGCCCCCGGGCAATAAAGGATCATGGGGCCCCTGTGTCCTAGCCCACACCCATAAAAAGCCTATGCAAAAGCCAATGAAAGGTACCAGGGGCATCTCATGGGGCCCCCTACTGACCCCGGGCCCTCGGGAAGTGCCTGAGTGCTTGATTGGTCAGTCCGCCCCTGCTCCTGCTACATGTAAAACATTACAAATAAGTGCCTATACCAGTAAATCCAGTAATACACTGTCTCACCCTGCTCTGCACATGCTCAGTTGCTCTATAGTTGCTGCACAGTGCCTAAAATCAGTGAGTCACTAAAGGCCAATCAGCTGACAGCTTTAAGATTTACTGTTGTTGAAGGGGGAAGAAAACAACAGGAGTGACACAGACTGTGTGGTAGGAACACAGATTATGGAGGGAGAAAAGAAAAGCAGGAGAGATGACAGGACAAACTCTGCTGCCAGAAAAGCATACAAGAGTCAAACTTACAAGGATAGTGTCTTATTTTATCTCTTAGATATTTACTTCTTTCTTCCTCATTGCAACTTGTGAAATTCAGCATTGTAAAGCTTCTGTCAGACTTCCTCTCTATCAGAGCCAAAACATATAATCAAGGCTGGAAATGTACATAATGTAATTGCAGAAAGTCACATGTCATTCTTGAGACCAAGGAGAGTTTCCAATAAGGAAGTGGCTGCTCTGAGCTTCAACAAAATGGCGGCTTTCAGTAAGCAGAAACAGGAGCAATGATGAAGGCAATTTACAGCACACACTAATTTTGGTAGCATAATTATTAATGGGGAATGTATGTTTTTTTGTTAACCACTTTACTACACGCTATAGCCGAATGACGGCTACACTAAGGTAGTCCAGTACTGGGAGGGAATCATATGACGTCCTCCCAGAACATGCCCCCCGTGTGCACACCCAGCGTTGTACGTGATACCTGTGTCATTTAACACAGCTGATCACATGACATGTTACAAGGCCAATCACAGTGGTCTTTTGTCATGTGATCAGCTGTCCACTATGTAAAAACATTTGTCGGTTATCGTCAGTACTTTCCTCATGCTGTGACAGCGTGAGGACCAGGGGGTGGACTGACAACTCATGGGGCCCCCGGGCAATAGGGGATCATGGGGCCCCTGTGTCCTTGCCCACACTCAAAGCACACCCAAAAAAGCCTATAAAAGGTACCAGGGGCATTTCATGGGGACCCCCACTGACCCTGGGCCCTCGGGCAGTGCTTGAGTGCTTGAAAGGACAGTAAAGCCGGTAACCGGCAACCTTCAAATCAAACATCTGCACTGATAATCAGGGCACTGGTTATCAATGCCCTGATTATCAGTGCAGCCCAAAAAGTGCTCATCAGTGCCTAGCAGTGCTGCCCATCAGTGCCCAACAGTGCTGCCTAGCAGTGCTGCTAATCTGTGCCAGTCAGTGCTGCCTAGCATTGCCACCAGTCAGTGCTGCCAGTCAGTCCTGCCAGTCAGTGCCCTACAGTGCTACCAATTAGTGCCCTTCAGTGCCACCTATCAGTGCCCATCATTGCTGCCCATCAGTGCCGCATATCAGTGCAGCAGCATCGGTGTCTTCTCATCAATACCCAATAGTGCCACCTCATCAGTGCAGTCTATCAGTGCCCATCAGTGAAAGATAAAAATTACCTGTTTGCAACATTTTATAATAAAAACAAATAAAACTTTTTTTCAATATTTTCGCTCTTTTTTTCGTTTATAGTGCAAAAAAAAAAAAAAAAACTGTGGTAATTAAATATCACCAAAAGAAAGCTCTATTTGTATGAAAAACAATTATAAAAATGTCATACGTGTACAGTGTTGCATTATGGTGCAATTGTCATTCAGTGTGACAGCGCTAAAAGCTGAAAATTTGCCTGAGCAGGAAGTGGTTAACCACTTCAATACTGGGCACTTGTACCCCCTTCCTGCCCAGGCAAATTTTCATGTTTCAGCGCTCTCACACTTTGAATGACAATTGCGCAGTCATGCAACACTATACCCAAACTAAATGTTTAGCATTTTGTCCACACAACTAGAGCTTTCTTTTTAAATATTGGCACCACATTGGCCAATCCAGGGGAACTATGCCAGTCATTAAAGAGTCCCTAAAAATTAGAAACAATGGCATTGAAATGACAGAGCTCAATTCTTTAAGGATCCGTGGGTGTATGCCATCCGGTCCAGGTCTCACTAAAAATCATCAAAATGAAACAATTCATAAGTGTAGATATTTCATGCTCATAAATAAATAAGTAAATATAAAGTGTAAATATTTCATGCTCATAATTAAATAAATAAAAAGATCATCTGTGGAAATCCCGTCTCCATGTGAAAATCATCTATAGAATAACTGGATACTCTCCAAGTGGTGGAATGATGAAACCATGTTTTCAATACATGCATATGTGTCACCCCACATCGTGCTAAAAAAAGGCTTACCAGATGTGTTTGACCCCCTTTTCACAGAGTAGTCAAAAACAGCTCAATGATATCAGATATTGTCAGTCACAGCTCCCTCCACACCATCAGATATGACTCCTTAAATCTCGGCATGCTTCACAGGGACACCTACTCTTGATATATCAGACATCCAATTGTGACATATGGGAAGCAAGAAAGCTATCCATAGCGTAAAAACATAACTAAAAACTTTTATTAAAACAAAACTGCACTTACAAGATATCAGGTATGAAACAGCGCTGTACAAACAAACTCCCGATCAATCCCCACAACGCAGATGGACGTGAAAATGCATGCATGCGTGGTGACGTACACCGTGGCTCCTTCCAATGCGTTTCGTCAGATGTGATGTCATCAAGGGTCAAGGCTTGACTTTTGATGTGGAGATTTTGTTTGTACACCGCTATTTCATACCTGGTACCTTGTAAATGCAATTTTGTTTTAATAAATGTTTTTAGTTATGGTCAATCACATCTGGTAAGCCTTTTTTGCACACAATGTGGGGTGACACACTTGCATGTGTTGACAACACGATTTCAGCATTCCACCATTTGAAGAGTATCCAGTTATTCTATAGAAGATTTTCACATGCAGACGGGACTTTTACAGATTAACTTTTTATTTATTTAATTATGAGCATGAAATATTTACAGTACACGTTATATTTACTTATTTATGAGCATGAAATATCTACATTTATGAATTGTTCATTTTGTTGAGTTTTAGTGAGACACACGTTTTGTCTATTCACATTTTTATGTGGTATTAGTTGGATATTCACTTTTTTGAGCTCTACACTGTTTTACGGTTGTAACCCAGCCTTACTCTATCCAAAATGAAAAAAAAAAAAGTTTTGTCTACAGTTCTAATACCACTTTAATCTGGTGTTACCATACAAAAGCTGATCAAATGTTAGTGCTTATCATATTTTATATCTGTATAGGGTAGGATTAAAGTTTAAATCATTCATTCAATCATTCCTTCATTCATTCCATGGTGATAATAAAAAATAATGGCAATAATATTGCAACTGCTCTTACAACTACGGCCAGTAGGTGGCGCTGTGATGTAATATTACACAGTACGGAGAGGGAATCGTGTACACATGGAAGGCTGCTACGTGACGTCATGTTTTCGCGCCAGGGTATACAGAGGAGAAGGCTGCAGCCATGTGGAAGTTGGAGAGGGAGAGTGGTGGAGGAGGTAAATGTTGTCAGAAAGGCATGTTGTTACACTGAGTAGTCACTGTGCTCGTCAAGCTCAGTCTGAGCGCGTTCATGTGCAGCAGAGAGATCACAGCTGTGACTTGTGTGATGATGTGTACCTGCATGTCCATTAAAGTGTACCTGTCATGCATAGCTGAGCTTCCTGATTTCTGGGTGATGTTAGTTCTCTGGTGACAGGGCTGTGCCATGTCCCTAGAGGATTGAGAGACATTTCTTTGATCGTATTAGAAGACCCTTAAGAAAATCACTTCAATATCGGGCATGTTCTCCCACTTCGTGCACAGGCCAATATTCAGCTTTCAGCGCTGGAATGACAATTGCGCGGTCATGCAACACTGTACCCATATGAAAATGTTATTTTTTTTTTCACACAAATAGAACTTTCTTTTGGTGGTATTTAATCACCACTGGGTGTATTATTTTTTGCTAAACAAATGAAAAAAGACTGACTTTTTTAAAAGTTTTTCTTTGTTTCTATTATAAAAATTTGCAAACAGGTAATTTTTCTCCTTCACTGATGTGCATTGATAAGGCTGCACTGGCGGGTGGCACTGAAGGGTAGATTGGCAGCACTGCTGGGCACAGATTGACATTTTTAGGCTGCACTGATAATCAGTGTAGATGTCTCCTTCCACACTTGCCGGTTATTGACAGTATTTTTCTCATGCTGTTCATCCTGAGGAAAGTACTGCTGATAACCGGCAAGTGTTTGCATCATGACCAGCTGTGATTGCATACAGCTCTTCACGTGGTAAAAGGCTGCTGTGATTGGCCCTTTATCGGGTCATGTGATCAGCTGTGTCTGAGGGATGCTTATTTAAGCACTCTGAAGGACACAGCGATCACAGAGAGTGCCAGATTCGCGCCGCAGGAAGCGTGATTATGGGAGGACGTCATATGACGCCCTCCCGGCACTGGACGACCGCGCTGTAACTGTCATTTAGCTATAGCGCGGTTAGCAAGTGGTTACAGTATAGCAGAATTTTTTTTGGGCAGAGTGGAGAGGGATTAGAAGCCCTGTTAGGTTTTTATTGCTTTCTGTGCCCCCGTTAGAGAGATTAACCCTCTGTTTGTCCTGTTTACCATTATCATCGAAAGTGAAAGTAAATGAAGTGAGGGACATAGTTCATTTGGGCCAAGCTGGCCCAAACAAACTGTAAAGTATAACAAAAGGTGGAGATCAACTTTAACGATGAAACAAGTGTAAATGAGCTCTTTTTTTTTTTTAAATATATATTATTAACCACTTACCGACCACCCACAGTAAGTTTACTGTGGGCAGGCAGCACATGCAGGCACAATCACGTATATGTACTTGATTGTTCCTGCTCCAGTTTAGGAGCGTGCTACGTGCCCCCCTGCTTCAGGTACCGGACCGCTTTGATCATGATCATAATGTTAACAAAGCTGTAATGAATGACTCTCATTCATAACAGCTCATCTTCCTATACTAGTGAGCTGTGATTGGCCCACAGCTCTCACATGGTACTAGGGCCAATAATAGCACCCTGTACCATGTGATTAGCTGTAGTCAATCACAGATCACTAGTAATCACAGCTGTATGAAGTAACCCATTCATGACAATTCAAAAAATTGCTGTTACAATGATCATAATAGTAACAGCAATCAAAGTGTTAAAAATAGAAAAAAACCTGATTCCTCCTACAGTACAGTGTTACTATGGTATATAAAAAATGTAAAAGACTTTAAAAAAAAAAGTTAAATTTTTTTTATTCAAATACAGGTGAAACTCGAAAAATTTGAATATCGTGCAAAAGTTAATTTATTTTAGTAATTCAACTTAAAAGGTGAAACTAATATATATGAGATAGACTCATTACATGCAAAGCAAGATAGTTCAAGCTGTGATTTGTCATAATTGTGATGATTATGGCTTACAGCTCATGAAAACCCCAAATCCACAATCTCAGAAAATTAGAATATTGTGAAAAGGTGCAATATTCTCGGCTCAAAGTGTCCCACTCTAATCAGCTAATTATGCCATAACACCTGCAAAGGGTTCCTGAGCCTTTAAATGGTCTCTCAGTCTGGTTCAGTAGGAATCACAATCATGGGAAAGACTGCTGACCTGACAGTTGTGCAGAAAACCATCATTGACACCCTCCATAAGGAGGGAAAGCCTCAAAAGGTAATTGCAAAAGAAGTTGCATTACTGAAATAAATGAACTTTTGCACGATATTCTAATTTTTCGAGTTTCACCTGCATACTCTCACCAGTCAGTGTCCCTGAACCTGGCCACACCAGTCATATGATGGCGCTGTACTGCACTGGTGACAGTATGTAAATTTAATTTCTTAATTTTCCACAAAAACAAATTGTTACTAAATACCAGGGTGGATTTGATTTAAATCAAACTGATTTAAATCACTAGTCAGTAAGGCTTGATTTAAATCCTAGTTTTCTACATAAAGACTAATTCTTGCTGGTATAACTTTAATATGCAAGTAGATGAAGATTTTTAGAATAACAACTTTTCATATTAGTTTTTTTATCCCCAGTTTAATAGGTTAATCATTCATATTTGGACAACTTTTCTGTTGTACTTAGGAAGGAGAAAAATAATCATTACCTTAATAATAACAATTTAAATAGATTTATTCAACTGAAACAATAACATTACAGCAGGGGTGTCCAAACTTTTTTCAAAGAGGGCCAGATTGGATGAAGTGAACATGGTGAAGGGCCGAACATTTTTCCGAACATTCTTTGAACCATTACAATTAAATGCAAATAAATTATTTTATGCCAAGTTAATTGCAAACGACATACTTTTCATTTCATAACATTAAGATCAACTGACAGTTGAGTTTTCACAATGTATTGAAAATAAATTTTAAAAAAACTTACCTGCACTAATGTGAAGGGTGAAAAAGGTAGCTGGAGCTGAAGTCTCTGCTCGGCAGCCGGGAGGGGAAGAGAAACACACTTCACGCTGGAAGCCCGGCCCTGACATCACCGCCCTCTGTCGCTCCCAACGGCGCAGTCACACATGCGCACTGCTCTCAAGCAGAAGACTGTCTGCGACAGCACTGTCGCATTTACACAGACCAGAGAGCAGAGAGAACGCGCCGCAGTCAGGCATGCGCACTGCTCTCAAGCAGAAGACTGTCTGCCATAGAAGGGAGGGCCGTGGGAGGGCCACATTACACAGAGCAGGGAGGGCTGTTGGAGGGCCGTATTAAACCGACCCCCGGGCCGTAAATGGCCCGCGGGCGGGACTTTGGACATGCCTGCATTACAGCATATGTGATTTGCTTAAACAAACATCCATGTTTGTTAACTAATTTGGCTAAACAAAATCTATATATTTTAAGAAACTTAGACTGTCAGCCCCTTCCTCCTCACACTTAGTTTCACTTTCTTCTTGTGCAGATCTATTCCACTCCAAACAATCAGAAAAATATTGTTTCTATTCTATTCACTGAACTTCTTGAAACTTAGCACTGAAGGGGTTGATTCTGTATTCATAGGTTTGTAGAAGTTAGGATTAAGGTCTTTTCTTAACTCTGTTCATGTTATAACATTTTTGCTGTGAAGAAGAGGCATGTGATCTCCGCTGAGTCAAATTCAGTTTTGATAACTGCAAAAGTAAACCAAGCATCTGTGATAATATCTTGTAGGCAGAGAAACTGCCCAATAATCTTACAAAAACCTCTGGAAGAGCATGACATTGTGAATGGATTCATGGAATTTATTTAAATTAAACATATACAGCCTTATTCTACATAATTAAAAAACTAATCTTTATTTCATGATGGAATAACCTTTGGATGGTAATATATTTTCCTCAAAAAGCATTTTATTTAAAAAAATCTGATTTAAATAAAATAAATCTGATTTTTTTTTTTTGATTTTTTAAAAAAAATCATTGATTTTTATCCACCCTGCTAAATACCTCAGACTGTCAACTTTCCAAAAAGGGGTAATTTGGGGAGTATTTATTCATATATATAATATTCACACAGACTAAGTAATATACACATATTGGGATTTTTTTCTACTATAGACATGTAGCAGAATACATTTTGGCCTAAATTTATAAAGAAATTAGATTTTTTTTGGATATCTTTTGTAACAGAGAATAGAAAATATATATATATTTTTTTTCATAATTTTTGTTTGTATAATAAAGACCCCAGTGGTGATCAAATTACCAGTAGAACAAAGCTCTATTTGTGTGAAAAAAAAAAATTATACAAATTTAATTTGGGTACAGAGTTGCATGCAATTGCCAGTTAAAGTAGCGCAGTGCTGAATAGCAAAAAATGGCTTGGACATGAAGGGGGTAAAAACTTCTGGAGCTTAAGTGGTTAATTGGGCCCCCAGGAGGTTTATGCCATAATGTGCAAGTATGCACCACATATTGGCACATTATGGCCAGCTTACTTGTCAAACAGTGCCCTCCAGTGCTGTGCTACCGCTCTAGCTCCCAGGTGCTTTCATTTTCGCCTGGTCTTCTTTCTGGATTTGCTCTCTGGCACTTCAATTTCTGGGCTGCTGCATGATAGTCACTTCATCATGGCACAGTGCTTGATCTCCCCCCCCCCCCCCCCCCCCCCCCAATATCATTTTCCTGCAGTTTTCTAGCCGATCCAGTGACCACAGCTCAGCTTACAGCACCAGGCCGGAGCTTTATTATCCTTGTGGGATAAAAGTTTTACATAAATTAATAAAAGCTGATCATTGTAAGCGCCCTGTCAGTGGTAAATGGTTTGTCTCAACTAGGGGTGCACCAAAATTTCAGTGGCCGAAAACACCCCTATTGGCCGTTGGCCAATATAAAAAAAGCACCAATGCAGGTGCCGAAAAAAACCCCCGCCCCCTCGCCGCTGTACCCGCCCGCCGCTGCCACCCTTCGCCACCAGCCGCCGCTCAGAAGTTCTCAGCCTTACCTGAGAAACCATCAAATGATCCTGGCGCTGGGCATAGAGATTAGTGAAGGAAAGATGGCCTC